CCCCCCCCCCTTAAATTCCTAACTAGTAGAAGCCATTTGAGGAAATGCATTGTTTGTTCTGTGCTGCTGTACATTCCCAGCTGGCTTTTGTGTGTTTATGCTGAGCACGTTTGTGTTGCAGCAGCGACACACCTGCGCGCATCACCAAAGACGTGGTGTGCTTTCACGCCGCAGACTTTCCAGACGTGGTCATGAGGCTGCAGCTGGACCTCCACGAGCCGCCGCTGTCTCAGGTGCGTCCGCAATATAGGCACAAATTGGCTGCTGGTTCCATCCTAACGATGCTAAATTTGTCCTGTGTGAACTGCAGTATTTGTGATGACAACGTATGAAGACCCCCAACTGCATGTTCTGGCCTAGTTGTTTTGTTAACGATAATTTCACTAACTATGACGTGTCGCGTGCTTCTGGGTGGCAAAAGCTCAAGTGTTTGTGCCGTAAACAAATTCTTACGTCATATGACTGAGGCAGAGTGATTGAGAAAACAAGCATAGCATAACCCTAAAGTCGTTATTGTTTTCACTTTACCTTGCTGTAGTCAATTACTTCTTAACCACACAGAAGTAGATGGCCGTATTTAAACATTACAAATGTATTGTTGATTAAATGTGTCTTAAATCAAATGAGACAAGATGCATCCCATCTCAATCTCCCATAGTTGTATTGTCATTTTAATGGAATATTGGCTTTTTTTAAATAGCATGTATACAAATAGTTGACTGTCTGCAAAACTAAACGAATGCTTTTGTGTTTCCAGAAGCCCGGTTCTTCCTTCACATTTCTGTACTCAGCAATGGTCTCTAAAACTTTTCCGTGTTTTGCATCCGCAGTGCGTCCAGTGGATCGACGACGCCAAGCTGAACCAGCTGCGCCGAGAGGGCATCCGCTATGCCCGCATCCAGCTCTACCACGACGACATCTACTTCATCCCCAGGGGCGTCATCCACCAGTTCAAAACGGTGTCGGCTGTTTGCAGCTTGGCTTGGCACATCCGACTCAAGCAGTACCACCAACACGAAGCTGTGGGGGAGGAATTGGAGAAGTGTTCTCCTCGTGACGTCACGCTGCCTATCAAGGAGGAGGAGCTCGAGGACAAGGTGATGAAACTAGAGGAGGAGCTACCTTCGCCACTGCCCTGTAAGGAGGAAGAGGAGTCACGCGCGCTAATGGAGGAGGAGGTGCAAGAGGTGAGAAAGGAGGAGGTGGAACAATGTCCAGGTGAAGTTCAACAGGAAGTTGGCGCTTCCTTGAAGCCACCGCCAATCAGGAAGGAGAACTACAGCGAGGAGGAGAGGCTCCACAAGACCGCCAAGAAGGAGAGGGCACGATGGGAGAAGGAGGACAGGAGTAAAGAGGAAAAGGAGAGGAGTAAAGAGGAAAAGGAGAGGAGTAGAGAGGAAAAGGAGAGGAGTAGAGAAGAGGAGAGAAGTAAAGAGAAAGAGAGGACTAAAGATGAGAGGGAAAGGACTAAAGAGGAGAGGACTAAAGAGGAGAAGGAGAGGATTAAAGAGGAGAAGGAAAGGAGTAAAGAGGAGAAGGAACGGACTAAAGAGGACAAGGATAGGAGCAAAGAGGAGAGAAAGGACAAGAGTAAACCTCGGGACAGGAAGCATAAAGTCAAGGATAAGGAGAGGGAGAAAGTCAAGACGGACATAATGCCGATGGCGAGGAAGAAAGACAAGGAGCCTGGAGGAGGAGGTGGTGCTGTCTCAGTTTTGTCTCTCAACTCGCGGCCTGAGGAGGCGCGAGATGGCTGCAAACACAAGTCATCGCAAGGTAAGAAGGAGAAGAGCGGCCACCGGTCAGACGCTCTCACACCCAAATCCGACGCATCGGCACCCAAGTCGGACCCCAAAGCCTCGCCCATCAAGCCGGCCCCACTCAGGCGAGACGGCAAGAAAGAGGAGCCCAAGAAGCCCCCCAGGACGCTCATCACGATTGACCTCTTTAAGCCCATGGAGGCCCACCAGACGGTGGCGCTTTCTTTTAAAACTCACCATCACCAACACGGCAGCGCCAGGCCCACAGACAACCGGACGCTGGTTCCCTTCAAAGGGACCAAAGTGAAAAGTGGGCCGCCGCTTGCAGACCCCCAAACGCAGCAGCAGCACTCGGCGCTTAAGCAAACACTCAAAACTCACAAAGACTTCCTCATTTGAATGTCGCCCCTTTTTTGTGGTGAGCATCGCGCGCGCGCGCGCGCGCACACACACACACACACACACACACACACACACACACACACACACACACACACACACACACACACACACTCCTATACTACCCAGAAAAGGTTTGTTTTGCTTTTGGGGTGAACCTAAAGTGCACTAGCACCTTAGAACCAGGTGAACTTAGTTTGACCCCGAAGCTGAATAGGTGTTACACCGGTGACCATCTTCTAATGCAATTCTTTTCCGTGACTCCTCCAGTCACTCTGTTGCAACCTGCTGATGCCACTCTAAGGTCAGTAGCCTCTTCACCTTGTCCTGAGACTGGCAGAGTCACCGAAAGGCACAAAAGTGGACATCCTCAAAAACCGTTCTGAATGTTGCCATTGAGCTCCTTTTTCCAGAGCAGCAAGTTGTACAAAAAGTAGCAAAACTTTGAACAGGTTTCAAATGAAGTTCTCCTGTAAAAGTTAGTGCATTTTGTCCTCAACATTTCCCCCCCAAAACTCAATACATCACAAACCTTTTGTGGCTAGTGTACGAGCAGGATGCACTCCCACATATTCAAACGGAGGAAGACGAATGTGAGCCAAGTAGCTCGCTTCAAATTTTATTTGTTCCGCGAATGTACGCCGGTATCTGTCAGTGCCTACTCACTACTTGGCATTTTTTTAATAGCAGCCACTGAAGGTACAAGACTCTCAATTTCAAAGGAACCACACACACACACACACACAATACAATACAATTGCTACACAATAATGAGCATCTACTGAATCATGTTTGCCGTTTTTAAATTGTTTTGGTTTCAAGCACTCCGCAAATGTTGATGCATTGGGTTTTTTTCAGATGGGACTTCCAAGCCAACACTGAGCTGTAAATTATTCTGTATGTACCAAAAACTGTACAGCATAAATCGATGTTATTAGCACCACATGAGGAAATGTATACAGAAATTGCATATATTTTTTTGTAAGACGAGTTTTATTTTCCATAGAACTTATTTATATCATTTAACTGTCTTGTTTTTATTTGAGGCCAACGTACATGGACAAGGTTGTTTATTTTTTTGTTTTAAAGTGTAAATACATTTTATTTCCTAAGATAAAAGACTTGGTAGTGTGATTTATACTCTGATCGGAACCTCAATAAATGGTTCAAAAATATGGAGTTCCCTGATCAATATTTACCGTATTTGTTCTTCTCTCAACCGCTGCACAAAAATGTCTATTCTGCAGTTAAATAAACAATGGACCGAAATGATTGATAACAAATTGCTCCAAAAGATACGATGCAAATGTACTTCAAAGTTAAATACAACTGAAACCAATTTAACAAATGCAGCACTGTAGTGGATTAAAAAACAAAAAAGTAGGCCAACATAACAAACACAGTTCAAACATTGACTTCAGTGATTCTTCTGTGTAGCACAGTTTGAGAATCACTGGTTTCACAAATTTATTGTGGTTTGCAGTGCATTCTTATCAAAAACAAGAGCACAAATGAAGCAGGATGAAAGTATATCAACAAGAATGTGTACGCAGTAGACCGTAATGCATGCTTCTATTCGCAATAAAATATTTTTAGTCATTGCCTTTTGCTCCAAAAGGCACCAGCTGTGCACCAAAGAGTGTGTTGCATTCAAGTGTCACACTGAGTTTGCATTGTCTCTTATCAAGACCCTGAAAAGTCAATTCCAGCAGCCATCTGTGTCTTTTCCCACTGTCCTTGTTGTGCAATACACCAAAGAAGAAAGAATATTCCTTGTCTTAAGAAAATTAATAAGGGGTGGGTAGTGATGGGAAACAAAACTTGTAATGTTACAAATTAGCTTCTTTAAGGGGGATTTTTTTTTTCATATTTCAAGAATAAAGTTGCAATGTCAGGAGGAAAAAGGCAATTTTATGAAAACTGGGGCTGAATGGGTAAATAGAAATTCTTGTAACATGAACAAAAGCCAAAGTAGACTAATAAAACAAGAAATTGAAACAATCATAAAACCAAAACCCTGAGTATAAATGGGTGTATTACGGATGAAGCCTTTCCTGCACCCTGTAACCTGAAAACACGATAAGATGTCCACTGTTGTAACAACAGTCCCTGAAAGGGTAAAAGAAGAAAGCTGTGACACTCCAGTTGTTATGAGCGTCACAACATATGGGGGGATCATTTTGCAAAAATGTCGAAAGTTTTTTTTACAATATTAAAGTTGTGAAAATAGTTATGCTGTATCTGACAACACGTTTTATATATTGCTTCCAAGAAAATGTTACTTGTACTATGATAAATTTATAGTCCAGTTACGTCACAAGATTAAAATCGTTTATGAGCATCACGATCGAATAAAACGGTAGTGTGAAAGTGTTACAACAATCAAGTAGTAATGTCTGAATTGTATGGGTGGGGGGGGAGATTCGAAACATATCTCGATGTACAGGGTGCGATACAATTCAAGGATGGTACATTTTAAAATGTAACGATTCAGCTTGGTTAAACTGAGACCAATTTTTCGATTTCAAATCAGTTTCCATTATAAAACGATTGTAATTTTTTAACATGGTGGGCAAAGTCATTCATTCATTTTCCGAACCGCTTGATCCTCACTGGAGCCTATCACAGCTGTCTTCGGGCAGTAGGCGGGGGACACCCTGGACCTCGTTGCCAGCCAATCGCAGGGCATACAGAAACAAACAACCATTCGCACTCACACCCACCTAGGTACAATTTGGAGTGTTCAATCAGCCTGCCATGCATGTTTTTGAAATGTGGGAGGACCCGGAGAAAACGCACGCAAGATCGGGGAGAACATGCAAACTCCACACAGGAAGGCCAGAGCTGGAATTGAACCCGGTACCTTCTGCACTGTGAAGTCAACGTGCTAACCACTCGACTACCGGGCCGCCGGGAAAAGTCACATTTTGCAAAATAGTTACATTATCAAGAAACATTATTTTTTGAGAGCCATCTTAGGAGTTTTTTTTTTTTTACTTTCAGAAAAGTTGTAATACAACTTCAGCCTCTAAATATATTAAAATGGATGTTACATCAAAAGAGCAGAACAAAAGCATTACTTCTGTAAAAATGAAGACTTTTCCATGGAAAAACATGGAAGATGACAAGAAAATACATTGTAATGGTACGTATGTGTTAATAATTCATAAATATGACATCACAAAATAGAACTTTATTCTAACTTTAAAATCACTGACTATACTGATCCTTTACAAGTTATGATTGAAAGGAGGCAAGTTCAGAACCCTTAAAATACACGGTTACAAAATTAGTTTTGGGGCATGCCAAGACCCCCCCAACAAATGATTCATTTGTAGAACCAAAATTCAGTAAAACTACAAGCACAGATGAAACAAATGTGCTGCCTCCTTGTTCAATTTCAGACAGGTACCTGAATTTTTTGTGGATCCATTTTTGATAGATCTATTCCCCAAAATTCATGTTGAATGCCGTTAACGGTGTCCTGGGATTCCCCCCGCCCCCAACTTTAAAGGTGCTACTGAGTGACTTTTGGGGAAGCCCCAAATCAATTCATTTCAAGGATGTGTAAAATGACTGTCCAGTCCGTTGTAAAAAAAAAAAAAATGCGTGCAAGGGATTCCCCCCGCCCCCAACTTTAAAGGTGCTACTGAGTGACTTTTGGGGAAGCCCCAAATCAATTCATTTCAAGGATGTGTAAAATGACTGTCCAGTCCGTTGTAAAAAAAAAAAAAAGTGCGTGCAAGGAGAATGCTCAAGTTCAGTCCCTGCGTGGGCGAAAGACGCCGCGTCCCAGCTCCACCAGGGCGCCCCCGAGGAGAACCCAGAGGGGGACGCACACCACGCTGAGCCACACGTCCGTCAGCCTCTGCAAGCGGGAGCACAGGCTCAGGCAGAAGGCCACCTTCAGCCCCACGGCCGCCAGGTACCACAGCCGGCGGACCGCACCGGGGTCGCCCTCGCGCTGCTCTGCATCGGCTTTACACCGACCGGCCAGTTTGACCAGCAGTAGGAGGACAAGGATGGCATCGAGCGTCCACACGGGCAGGAATATGAGGAACCAGTTCCAGTGCACTTTGGCATCCAGCTTGAGGACCAGCATGATGAGGAAGATGAGGCTGAAGATCCACATCAGAAACACTCGCTGCACCAGGGACATCTTCATTGAGGAGCCACGGCCGTCCGCGGCCAGGGTTCAGGTATATAGGTACTTATGTGTAAAAAATAAATAAATACATAAATAAAATAAGTTCTGATTCAACTCCTTTTTAAGTGAGAGGATATTGACAAAAAGAACGTTCACCAGTCTGAACATGAAACATCTTGTCTTTGGGGCGTATTCAATTGAATATAGATTGAAGAGGAAATCTGTTTTCATTTACGTTTTACCCAACTTCATTGGAATCGAAGTTTGTACAAGAGTAAAAGGGAGTTTTGACGTGGAACTGCAGTGTTTCTTAAATATTTTATGGGTCCATCGGTCCGTCACTGACAGATGCCCAATTTTCTGACAAAACTACCTTTTATTTCTTTAAAACAACTGTTCTAGAACACATACACCCTTTTTCTCAAAACTATACCACATTTATGTCTTGAGAATACTACTTTTTTTCTTGAAAATAAAGTGCATAGGAACCAGCCTTCATACAATTGACGTCCATTGAAAAGCATTGGCATTTTCTTTTAACACACAAGAAATAATTTCTGGAAAAGAATAAATTTGCAGGAACCCCAGGGGTCCTGTTTTCCCCCCCTTGATTAGATACAATTATCGAAAAAAAATTTTAAAAACCTTGAAAAAAATACTACATTTTTCTCAAACGTGTTTTTACATTCTTCTTCTTCTTCTTCTCCTTTCGGCACATCCCTATTCAGGGGTCGCCACAGCGAGTCAGCAATTTCCATCCGCCCCTGTAAACCGTCCCACCAACTCGCATGGTCGTCTTGGCAAAAGTTTTACGCCGGATGCCATTCCTGACGCAACCCTCCCCATTTCTCCGGGCTTGGGACCGGCACTGGGGAACAGTGCACCCCCAGGGGAGGGCACTGCCCCCCAGCGGCTGGGTTAAACGTGTTTTTACATTACATTACTAAAACAATAAACTGGTTTTTTTTCGAGAAAAGTTTTAACTTGTAGAATGTATCCAACTTTCCTTTAGTAAGTAACACGCCTATTTGGACAAAGTCCGGACTTGAGTAGAAAGTATAAATATTTGTTCACCACAGATGGCTGGAAAGGAAAGTCTACTGAAGTACAGGAAAGAAGTACAGGATTTGTAATTCGTTACGTCCCAACCGAATAGCCCGAGACAACGCGGCGGATCCGGAAACGATTCTCATTTCTTGTCCCGACCCCATAAAGTTGCCTTATATTGGATTCGGAACTAGAAATGCACTTTTTGTTGGGACGGTTTGGCTGTCAGTCAAAAGCACGCTAAACACAAGTTTAGCATAGAGACAAAAGCAACGCTGAGAACGTCTTACCGAACTCGGTAGGAGATTCGTCGTCACTCGGCTCTCGAAGGCGACCTCAGAACGAACGTTTATCCTCCTCAAAAGAGGCCCTTGTGTTTCCTTTTAGGGGATAAACTTGTTTTTTTGTTTGTCTTGAGCAACTGGAGTGGCAGTTAGCTTGAAGCTACTTTGAGTAACGCGAGACTTCCGCGGACACGACGGAAAAGGGAAAGACCAGGCTGTCTTTCACAATAGTAGAACGGCAAATTAAATAAAATAAATGTTTTTAAAAAACATGATTTTTCCTCCCCTCCTTATAGTCTTTTCGAAAACACATATTATGTCACTTATATATTTCCCTTTTTAAATAGCGCTGTTTAATTAAAAAAAAAACACAAACATACTTTTCCTTCCACTTTTTATGTTAGTCTCAATTTTCTTTAAAAAGTTGAACTGCTTTTTATGAAAACATCTTTTTTCCTCAATAAAAATCATCTATCGCCAAATTATTCTGAACCATTTATCTCTGTTTTGTAAATAGCTCAAGTTGATCGAGTTTTCTTTTTAAAAAGCCTAAATGTTCTTTTTTTAAACACCAAATCGTTATTTTTAAAGCATTTTACATATTTTTTTCTTTTCATAAATTATCTCCATATTTGATTTTGTTTTTACAAAGCACACATCTACAGTTTTCTTATTTCCAAGAGCGCAGAGCAAGTGTTTTTATTCTAAGACCTTTACCTCCATTTTTCTTCATTTATAAAGCAGATATCTCCACTTTTACTCTTCAGCCTGAAGCTCTGTTTTCCCTTTTTAAAAGGAATATACAATATACCCATTTTTGTTACATTTTGTTCTTTCTATAAAGTTTCATGTAGCATGCATCATCAGATTTTGCTTTTTAAAAGCATGTATTACCAATTTAAAAAATGTTATCAATTGTTTTCCTTTTTGGAAAAGCATTTTTTTTTCATTAAAAAATGTTTATTCCATTTTGTAAAAAGAAAAAAAATAACAGTATGCATTACATGCATTTTCTCAGTTTATAAAGTGGCTTATTTTGCATTTTTATTTATAAAAACATGGAATTTTAAAAATATCTATTCAAAACATCAGAAAATGAATACAGGTATTACTAAAATTAAAGCATGAGTTCAGTAATTTAATAACTCGACACAACAAACACAAAAACAAGACGACCGTGGTAACCCACATTTAAACATTTTATTCAAATCTACTTTTTCCCCATACCAGGTAAGTATAACAAATGAATAAAAAGTACAACTTCGTAGATTGTCCAAAAAAGTAAAGTACAAAAAGCTTGAGGTAAAACATTTTTTTGTTGTTGTCGCTGAAAAAGATCATTTTTAAAAAGCCCTTATTATTAAAAGATTCATTTCGTAACCATGTGACTTTTTATTTCTAGCCGCCTGAAAAAACTATAACAACGCACTTGTATTTACAAGGTGCAAAATACAGTGTGTGAGACAACATTCAGTACAATTGTCTTTTGAAATGTAAACAATTCAAAAACCTCAACGCCTGCCTGTCTGTACAAAGCAGAAAAAAAACACCACCACCATCTAAAGAGCAAATTTTTCCCTTTGGACCTCTACAAGCAGCAACATTAAAACAGCTCATTAGCCACATTAACATAAAATGCACTGACCAAATGCAAAGATAACACACGGCACATTCAGAAATGGTGCAAATGGGGAATGTGTGACGTTTCATTTTTTTCATTTTAATTAATTTTTTTTGGTCTTTTTTTTTTTTTTTTTAATTAATGACATTAATTTTTACATTCAGCAAAAAGATGATGTGATTTTCATTGGAATCAAGCTGCTCATGATTATTATTTTGGTCAATAAATGACAGAACGGAGGTGACAATGCATGGATACCTCACATCACTTTTATGTGAACACAATCAATGCCCAATAAAAATAATAATTTTCAAGATGATTTCATCACACAGACCAACAAAGATGCCACAGGTCTGCAGCTTTGACAATTATTCCTTCCCAAAAGAAATACAAGTGTAACTGAAAACTACCGGAGCAAAGTAGAAGCGGTTACATTTTGAACAAATCCAAATAAAGGCGCAGATGCAGGTTTTTGTCGGCAAACACGATGAAATGTTTCACTAGAAAACCAACTTATTATTTTAAAATCATGTATTACCAATTTTGAGATATGGGGGGGGTCATTTTTTAAAAAGCACACACATGTATAGTTGTTTCCCTTCAATTTCTCTTTCTCCTTTTTTAATTCTTTCACTACATCACAAATTTTTCCTTAAAAAGTGTCTTTCTGCCTTTACAAAAAACATGCATGTTTTTCTTGTTTTAAATTTCTTGCATTTGCCTCTCCTTTCAAAAAGCATTCATCTCAATGTTGGTCTTTTTCAAAAGCATATATCTCAAAGCATATTTTCTTGTTTTGATAACGTCTATCTATTTTCTTTCCTTTCTTTTAAATGCATGTATGTGTCTCCAAATTTAGTTTTTGTGTAATTTTTTTAAGGCAGTGTCTACATTTTTTTATTTGTTTAAAAGGCATGTAGGTGGGGTGTGTGTGTGTGTGTGTGTGTGTGTGTGTGTGTGTGTATATAGTGGGCGACTGGTTAGCACGTCGGCCTCACAGTGTAGAGGTACCGGGTTCAGTTGCAGCTCCGCCCTCCCTGTGTGGGGTTTACATGTAGAGGTACCGGGTTCAATTGCAGCTCCACCCTCCCTGTGTGGGGTTTACATGTTCTTCCCGGACCTGCGTGGGTTTTCTCCGGGTCCTCAGATTTCCTTCCACATTCCCAAAACATGCATGGCAGGCTGATTGAACACTCAAAATTGTCCCCAGGTGTGAGTGTGAGCGGCAATGGTTGTTCGTCTATGTGTGCCCTGCGATTGGCTGGCGACCAGTTCAGGGTGTACCCCACTTACTGCCCGAAGACAGCTGTGATAGGCTCCAGCACACCCGCAACCTTCGTGAGGATATGCAGATTAGAAAATGGATGGATGGATGTTCTTTTTGAGTGTTTTTGTTCAAGCATACATGTCCTTTCTTTTTAAAAAGCGTATACCTGAATGTTGCTTCTTTTCAAAAAGCAATTATCTCCAAAAGTTCGGCTCAGGGAAATGCAAATATTGGAGATACAAGCTTTTCAGTGGCCAGTGACCACCCACATCTTTATCTAGATCTGCATCAAAATGTGGTTGCATCTTTGGACCATGCTACAGCTCTCCCGAAAGTTTTGCGGCAAATGATGTTTTTTGAAGGTAATGTTCTTGTACACATAGACATAACGCATAAATAAACAATCATTGCATTTTTGGTCATTTGTTAAGAGTTTAACCTCGGTGGAGGTCTGAGTATTCTTTTCTTGAAATGCAGTGAACCCCCACTCTATCGCGGTTAAGCGTTCACTGCCCTGTTTTATCGCAGTGATTTTTTTTTTTCTGAATGGATTCATTACATACAGGCAAGGCTGAACTTCAAGTTGCACACCTTCAGTGTCGTATCACATTGTGCCACAACATGCCGGGCAGCACTGAGTTTTACTCGAAGACATGCAGCGTGACAAACAGCAAGAAGAAGAGGCAGAGAAGGTTCCCTACTAAGCTGATTAATAGTCCAACAGAGCAGAGAGAATATATGCTTGCAAGTAATGCTTTGTATGTTTTCCTGCTCTGAGTGTGTTAATCAGAGGTGGGCTTTCCGTCAGTGCCTCCATCACTGTTTCCGTCAATAATTCAGGCCGGCCCACATGGTGACAGCCAATCGGCGTTGAGAAATACTGATGGCAGCTCACTGACGAACTGACTGGACTGACAATGTCCACCTCTGGTGTTAAAGTAGCAGTTGCTAGGTTTACCATGATTAGCGTAGCATCTATGATAATTTTATTTAGCCAATTTATAGTGTTTTGCATTATATGTTACCATTAAGATAGCGGACTTTCAGAAAATGGAATGATACGGTTCGGTTGAATGTTCTGCAGTTTATATACTGTAAACAATGCTCAATGGTGTCTGGATAAACGTCAAATGAGAATGTAAAACAAAACAGCTTGAAGCTAACACACTTGCCTTCTTATTTGGGAGAACTGTGTGAGTCTTCTTTTTTTTTCCTCAAAGTGATGTTATATGATAACCTCTCATTTCTTGACAACAAGAAAGTGAGAGCAGGTGCTAAGGAATCATTTCAAAATTGTGTTGCAATATGTTTAAATTGATATGTTTAAAATGTGTCGGAGGGGTTGAAAACAGTCTTTTTTTTTTATGGTCCCTGTATTGTGGATTTTCAAATGGGAAGAGGGTCTTGAATGTATCGATAAACGGGGGTCCACTGTAGTTTTTTTGTTTTCAAGCCTTAAACTTTTATAACTACATTATTTTATGAAACCAGCATGACTGGATGGAGAAGAGGACGAATTCAAAGCCATGAAATGTACTGACAATGATTATCCCAAGTGTGTGTGAGTGTGTGTGTGTAAATGTGTGCGTGCAGCTACACCGTACTCTGCCTGCTCTCGCGGCCATAGCCAAGAGCCTCGGCGGAATGAGGTGGGAAGTCGATGAATATCCCATCTGAGTCGGAGTCTCCCGACTGGAGGACTTGTCCGATGATGGTTTCGGGGCTGGACGACTCGCTGGGTGGCGAACAGGACCCTGCCTTGCCAAGGTCGGTCACGGTGGTGGTGGCTTCGGTGCCGTGGAGAGCCCCCGACGAGTGCAGGATGGACGGGGAGGACAGAGGGAGATCCATGGAGGTAGCTCCTGTCTGCATCATGCCTGACAATCACAGTTATCATGTCATGGTGGCATCACAGCAACCCTCGTATATTTGCGCTTAAACATTAGAAAATGTACACATTTGCACATTTTTTACAACCCTCAAGTGATACAGTGACATTAAAAAGTCTGCACACCCCTATTCAAATGCCAGGTTTTGGTGACATACAAAAATGAGACCAAGACAAACCATTTCAAAATATTTTAAACCATTAAGTTGACGTACAACCTGAACAAGTCATTTTTTTAAAATGCGAAGGGCAACATCGTTCATTGGTTTACCCATTTGCGCATTGCGACATCATCGAGTGCGTCATCTGAATGCCCCGACATGCACTTGACATGTTGTTCATCTGTCCGCTGACTCTCCTTTTTGGAAGGTATATGTCAAGCTAGTGAAGTGGTATTGGTGTCATAGTATTGGAATTTTCTTTTTTTTGTTGTTTTTAGTACAAGTACAAAATATCGACTGATACTGATACTGTTATTGGTCTTGGTTGATCCCATCTACAAATTACAATTTTCGTTTTCAAAGTAATCCCCCCTGAGTCTAGCGCACCTATCCAGCTTTCTCTGCCACGCCTTCACACTTCAGTTTTACAGCTGTGGTTGTTTTTCAAAGTGCTTAATAGATAGAGTTGAGACTTTTGTGTATATATTATTGTTTGGAGTATACTGTAAACAATGCTCAATGGTGTCTGGATAAACGTCAAATGAGAATGTAAAACAAAACAGCTTGAAGCTAACACACTTGCCTTCTTATTTGGGAGAACTGTGTGAGTCTTCTTTTTTTTTCCTCAAAGTGATGTTATATGATAACCTCTCATTTCTTGACAACAAGAAAGTGAGAGCAGGTGCTAAGGAATCATTTCAAAATTGTGTTGCAATATGTTTAAATTGATATGTTTAAAATGTGTCGGAGGGGTTGAAAACAGTCTTTTTTTTTTATGGTCCCTGTATTGTGGATTTTCAAATGGGAAGAGGGTCTTGAATGTATCGATAAACGGGGGTCCACTGTAGTTTTTTTGTTTTCAAGCCTTAAACTTTTATAACTACATTATTTTATGAAACCAGCATGACTGGATGGAGAAGAGGACGAATTCAAAGCCATGAAATGTACTGACAATGATTATCCCAAGTGTGTGTGAGTGTGTGTGTGTAAATGTGTGCGTGCAGCTACACCGTACTCTGCCTGCTCTCGCGGCCATAGCCAAGAGCCTCGGCGGAATGAGGTGGGAAGTCGATGAATATCCCATCTGAGTCGGAGTCTCCCGACTGGAGGACTTGTCCGATGATGGTTTCGGGGCTGGACGACTCGCTGGGTGGCGAACAGGACCCTGCCTTGCCAAGGTCGGTCACGGTGGTGGTGGCTTCGGTGCCGTGGAGAGCCCCCGACGAGTGCAGGATGGACGGGGAGGACAGAGGGAGATCCATGGAGGTAGCTCCTGTCTGCATCATGCCTGACAATCACAGTTATCATGTCATGGTGGCATCACAGCAACCCTCGTATATTTGCGCTTAAACATTAGAAAATGTACACATTTGCACATTTTTTACAACCCTCAAGTGATACAGTGACATTAAAAAGTCTGCACACCCCTATTCAAATGCCAGGTTTTGGTGACATACAAAAATGAGACCAAGACAAACCATTTCAAAATATTTTAAACCATTAAGTTGACGTACAACCTGAACAAGTCATTTTTTTAAAATGCGAAGGGCAACATCGTTCATTGGTTTACCCATTTGCGCATTGCGACATCATCGAGTGCGTCATCTGAATGCCCCGACATGCACTTGACATGTTGTTCATCTGTCCGCTGACTCTCCTTTTTGGAAGGTATATGTCAAGCTAGTGAAGTGGTATTGGTGTCATAGTATTGGAATTTTCTTTTTTTTGTTGTTTTTAGTACAAGTACAAAATATCGACTGATACTGATACTGTTATTGGTCTTGGTTGATCCCATCTACAAATTACAATTTTCGTTTTCAAAGTAATCCCCCCTGAGTCTAGCGCACCTATCCAGCTTTCTCTGCCACGCCTTCACACTTCAGTTTTACAGCTGTGGTTGTTTTTCAAAGTGCTTAATAGATAGAGTTGAGACTTTTGTGTATATATTATTGTTTGGAGGGGGCATTGCTCAAACTGATCAATAACAAGGCAGATAGATGTTTTACTCCTAAAAAGTATCTTAATATTATTATAAGTCAATATAATATGAAATAACTCTATGCTTAAATACAGGGAGATAAAAAAAAAAAGAACAATTTAAATATTGATAGAATTTAAATGACATGCACTTACATGTAAAAAAAAACAAAAAACAATTGTACCAAAATACATTTTTAAGAAGTAACAGTTCTGAAACTTCGAATTAATGATCTTAAAGTCAAATACAACTGAATTGTACTTAAGAAGTGTACTGTAGAAAACGTCTGGTATTGAATGACTTGATATAAATAATCTTGAAAATATTAATATAAATTATGAAAAAGTCATGAAAATAATAATAACCTAAGTACATTTGAGTACAGTAGTCTTTCATTCTCATGGGTTCCGATTGGCTGCTGGTAACATCGAATTGACAAACACACCTTTGAACTGCGAGCCCACGCATAGCCTGTTGGAGGCGGAGCCAGAGAGGTCGGAACTCGCCGCCAGCTCGGCGTAGTTCAACTTCTGCTCCTCCAGGCAGGAGATCATCTCGCAGGCCGAGTGGCGGCGGATTCCTCCGCTACCCACTGAGCCGCAGTCGGCGTCGTACTCGGCCACGGGGGTCAGGAGCAACGGGATGTTGTAACTTTTCGATCGGACCACCGGGTTCTTGGACAGATGCTCGGCAGACTTGGACCAGCCCCATTGGAAGCGCTTCTCTAAGGGAGGAACAGGGACAGGAGGAGGTGGGTTGTGAAACACACATTTAGTTTTGTGATTAACCCCCCCGCCAAAAAAAAAAATCTCATAATATCAGGGCCTTTTTCAATCGCGTAAGATTATGACCTTTCATTTTACACATACTACTTTTCATTGAAAAACAACTGAATGGCTGAAAAATATCAGTTGAAAAAAAACGTATACTTAATGTTCATGTCTGCACCTCAATTTTCAATTCAAATTCAGTTCAACATATTGTTGGGTGAGAATCAATTCTGATTTAAATTCCAATTCATCCATTGAATTGAAATCTGAATTTTGCACGTCATACATTTGTGACTTTTTTTCTCCCAGAACTTTTTGGGGAGAACTACCGGTATATGTTTCTTGAAAATATACTTTTTTTCCCCCCTCAAATATATGCAAACTGGCCCACTGTGGAACTAACAAAGGTCATCTTAAATTATTATTTTTTTTTAACTAAACTATTCTTTACTATTCAACTTTACCATGGCTATATCTTACTTTCGTTTTTTTCAATAGAAATGATTTTCTGCAACTTGTGGCGTTTTTTTTTTTTTTTTTAATGTACAGCAATATGCGAGTTCCCTCACTGTTAATTACCACCAATCTAAATACTGGTCTCACCCAGAACACAGCAGTGGTCCTCGATGTCATCTCCAGAGTAAAGCCCGTGAGTGCCCAAGTAGGGTGAGACCACCTTCTGGACCAGAGACTCCAGTCTCAGGTAGTCCTCATTCACACCACGTGACTCATGAACTCCCTGCAAAATGACAAAATGAATAAATATCATTACATCACACAATATTTCATTTTAGGAATGGAAACTACACCTTTTTTTTTTTTTGCCGCAAATAATGCACGGACACATTCCGTGTGTCAGAATGAGCACCATGATAAACAATCAGAACAGCGTTACCTGGAGGATGAGCAGCATCTGCGTAACGGACGGTGGAACTCGTGCCCGGGGCCGAGACAGGGCGTCCTCCAGCTTGACGCTCAGGACGATGGTGCTCCTGAAGTGCAGTAGAGCAAGCTGGCGGACAGATGGCTCCTTCCCCTGCGCCCGACAACAACAACAGGGCTCATTGGAATGGTGATTTGATATTTATTTATCTATTAAGTCCTTCTTGACAGTTTATTCTCCTCATTTTCTAGCACTGCTTCCAGTCCGTATTTGTGTATGTTAGATTTATTGTCCCTAACATATTAAGAAAAATGTCGATTGTGATCTGCTTTATATGATGCATGTTTTGTATAATATTTCATGTTTTTTCTAATTGCGCGGCATGATAATGGCCGTATTAAGAGGTGGAGGTCCCCACTGATGGCTCACAGAACAAATGCAACTACTGTACTCTGTTGAGCTTGCTGGTTGTCCTCTTGTGACGATGGCCTACCTGGACTGGGTGGAAGATGGCCTGCAGCATGGAGAGCACATCACAGAAGAAGAAGTCCCACGTCTCGGCCAGAGAGTCCAGTAACTTCTGACCTGCAAGTTGGCAAAGCAAAAAAAAAAAACAAAAAACTAAAACATAAATAAATACATAAATAAAATAAAACGCATTAAAGCTTGCTACTTATTTGGACCATATGAATTTAATGGGACATATTACGGAAAACATTACATTCTAATTTTTTGGCGCGCGTGCGCACACACACACACACACACACACACACACACACACACACACACACACACACACACACACACACACACACATACTGTATATTAAAGTGGATTATATCTCTTTTAGAGGAATTCATACCTTCGTAGAACCTTATTTTGTCTCTCAGGATGACCATGCCCTTTGTCAGCAACTGGTTCTGAAATGTTAAATGAGACAAAATAAAGAACGTCTGCTACCAAAATGTAACATTTACAGTGATTCCCAACCGAAAAATGATTATTGACTAAATGTATTTCATTTTTGTACATTTATCTATGCGCGGTGACCTATAGCGACAGGCAAAACAAATTAATGCTGTGTATCCACCTGTTGCCAATCTTACAACAGAATAATACAGTATATGTGTTCAGCGGAATAGATTTCCCACTGAGTAAGTTAATTTGGGAATAAACTGAGACATGATAATTGTTTCATGACATAATGCCTAGAGATTTTTTTTTTTTTTTTTTTTTTTAGAGCCTGAAAGTATTGCCATTTGCTCTATTTGCCACTTTTTGTACATGCTGCTGCTCTGTGTATGTGAAAAGTAGCAGTTGGATGAAGGGTGCTCCTAATTACTATGACATCTATGTTACGTTTCATTTAGCCTGTAATGCATGAAGCTTTGCAAATTATTTGGTTTATTTGAACGTTTACTTTTTTAAAATATATCATGGTTAATTCTTGTTTATTGTAAGAGTCTTCTTTTTATTTCCTTGAAGTGATGTCATACAAGAGTCTTCCATTGCTTGAAAATGTGTTTTTCAATTAGTTTAAATATGTTTTCACATATTGAGGGCAGGGTATGTAACATCTCCACCGTGATAAACTGAGGCTTCAATGTATGTGCCTTCGCTCAGTGAAGGTTGGGAAGCACTGGTCTGAAAAGTATCATTATGCAATTGTCGCTCCGGGATTACCTGAAGGTATTCCGTGAAAAAGGAACCCAGCTCGGTCTTCAGCAGGTGCCTGGTGGAGGAACATTGACTTTATCGGATGAATCAAGCAGCAAAATGTGTCAATCAAGTCATGTTTACAACCCACACAAACAAATGTTTCCTTGTCAGCAGCTCTGTTACAAAAACAGGACATTGCACGTCTTGCAACGTGTGTGTCCATGCATGCTTTTGCGTGTCCGCGGGCGTGTGTGTGTGTGTGTGTGTGTGTGCTTGCTCCTGTGTACTTTACTGTTTACTAATGAGGGCGTGTGTGCGTTAGACAACTGGTGTGTGCAAAGATACTGACATATCTGGCGTGAACAGATAGCACATAAACAAGCGTGGTTAACACAAAGTGCTCAGTCAGCGCAATTTGAAGTGCAATTTTAACCACAAGGAACTGGAATTGACTAAATTCCAGAGGTGGCAATAATACTCCTACTCTGTAATGAGGCAGAGGTACAGCTAGTTCATTTTTATTTATGTATTTTACTGTCATGCCTTTGACTTATGAATTTAATTAGTTCTGTGTTCTCATATGTGAAATTATCTTTCCGCATGGACATGAATGGAAATGCCATGAATCCCTTGTAACAACCCCGTAAAAACAGCATTGCTTGTTGATATAGCTCAAGTCTATCACCAAAAAAAAAAAAAAAAAAAAAAAACCACTATAAGTACATTTGACATATCAACCTACCGGACGCCTTCGTTGAGGACGTAAAGTTCATTGTCGGCCAAACCTTTCTTCTGGAAAACTGCGATGACGGCATTGTGGATGCTGCAAGGACACACAAACTACATTTTAAAGTAGAATTTGACATATTCACAGAAAGAATGCTTGAGTTGTGAGTTTGATTCTTGATTCAACTACTCAGGAATGCTATGAGCCCGCCAAGCCGACGTACCTGTTCCAGGTGGCGTTGGCGCCAGCCCTCTTCTGCTTCTCGCCTCTGTCCTCCGGTGAACCCTTGTCGCTCTTGGCCAACTCGCTAAGGCTGGGCGAGCTCATCAGCTTCAGCCGGTGCAGAGTCCTCATAGGAGTCATAGAGGAGAGACACCAACGAGCAAAACACACACACTCAGCAAACCGTACAGTCAAAGAAGGAAGGTCGAGAGCCAGATACGCAGAGGAAAGGGAAGCCGAGAAGCCAGAGAGAGAATAAAAGTAGGACAGAGTGATGCGAGATGAGAAAGTAGGATGGGCGCTGCCCCGAAGTGCCCGGGGGAGGTGGAGAGAACAGAGGTACCGATGGGATTCCCAAACAATACCGGCATTGATGCCAACAAATATTTATGCGGCACACAGATGCCAGTGGAAGTGCGGGGTAAGCAGCAGAAGAGCGCCCGTCACTGTAAAGCTGGGAGGAGGAAGAAGAGGAAAGAGTGCTCGCATGGCTCAATGATAACAAAAACAAGACGAGTAGTAAGTGGAGTCACCATAAAGGAACTCCTGCTGCTCTCTCATTACCATTGCAAGAGGGCAATTGTACAGGATAGCACAACACACAAACGAGTACTGTACAGTGAACTCCCGTTTACAGTGTGGGAGTCCATATTTACCCACGATAGGTGAAAATGTGTGATACAGAGAGACCATACAGGAATGTTTTTTTTTTAACTAAGTGTTTTGTTTCGTTTTAATTTTTAGAGATGTAAATGTTCATTAACTTTTTTGAGATGATGTACTTTTTGTAGTATGATCAGTGAAAAAAAAAGTAATTACCAACACTTCGACATAATGTTGTGACCGAGCATGATTTTATGACTTGCAACTTGTTCGAATGAATTCATGACTTGACTTGCTTGAAATTTGATGGCAACTCGACTTTTTTTCCTCACAGTGGCTTGGGACTTGCTTGAGACTTGAAGGGTTGCGACTAGAGACTTACTTGTGACTTGCACATAGTCCCATCTCTGCATTTTTCCAATAGAGTATCACGTTTGCGTGAAACGTCCGTGGTTCGAGACTGGGTGAAAACGACTTGTTTTCTTGTAATCAGTGAGCTTTTATACAAGTTTTGATGGGCTCCCTAAAAGGGAAGTCAAGTAGAAAATGTCTTGACGTTAATATGTTACATGCGATCCAGCTATTCTTAACATGGTATTCTGATTAATATTGCGTTTGAATATGAATATGAATTAAGCAGAAAAATTTGCCTTGTAACTGCCACTTGCTGGCAACTGAAAATGACATCACTCCTGCCGAAGGGCGGAACCGGTTTTCTGGGTTTGGTCATGTGACGCTCACGACTATCACTGCAGTTTGCATAGTGTGTTGGTTCAAATGTTTGCGTCACACGAACAAGGTCTCCTGTTCCAAACCATGTTTGTGGTGAAACAGTAACCTGCTCTGTTAACGAGTAAATGTTCCGACTGCTAACTATGAGCCAAAATAGAAAAGCCCATTGACCCGCCACCATCTTTTTCATCATTTTTTACATGTTTCCACCTGATGGAATACACACTCAGGACAAGAGCTGCTCATCTTAAAAGCCTTTTTGATGCGCGTTTATGTAAATTTTATAGAAATTCATAATATAAAAAAAGAACAGAAAAGAACAATGGTATTTGGAATAAAACTGAATTTTGCAGTATGAAACAAGTTTTCATTGATATTCAAATGTTCAATTACATGATGATTGCAGAAGCTGTGTTATGAAGTGGTGTTGATATGGGAGACATGGGTACAGGGTCGATAAATTAGCCAATCATATCATTATTCTTCTGTCTCTGTTACTTGACTATCAGAATTTGACCTGACTTGATTCGTGATAGTTTTAATAATCTACAAAACTGTGGATTAACTGCCCTGTAAAACTAAACTCAAATCATTCTTCAAAAGGGCAAAAGATGGTTTCGACTTGATGGGCACAAGAGACGGCGAGATTTAACAGCACGCGGATAAATAGATTACCCAGAATGCTCGGCTTCAGTAACCATTTATCTTGAAAAGTGAGTGATGCTCACCTCCTGATTGGATGCTCATTGCTCCCATCCAAGTCCGGGCTCGGGGGAGGCGCCGAGAAAGTGCTGAAGTTGAGCGAGAGTGGCCGGGGCGAGGAGCGGGAGGCATGCCTCCGTCTGAGGCCATCCAGCATCTCCATACAGACAAGCACAAGTGATGTTAAAAAAATGCTGCGGGGCGGAACATTTCTTAAAAATAAAAAATATATTTTTTAAAGAAGACGTGATGAAACAGGATAACTTATTTCTTCAACAGCAAACTGTGAGACACCCACACTTGGGTAAACTTAAGCTTTTTTACCAAAATCTTCTTGATGGCTCAAACATAGTCATTGAGGGGCTGGCTAATTAATTAACTTTTCTGTTGCTCGGATTAATGGCAAAGATGTTCACGGTGAAGTGACATTCACAACATCCTTAGGGCCAGCTACCCAACATACTGCCAGTATGTTGGTTGTCGGACCTCTTTATAAAAAGAAATAATCAGTGCCATTTACTTTGTTTTGAAAGAACTTGTTTGAGGTTTTCTCGACATTCAAACAATTCTTTTTTTTCCCCAACATACAGCTAAAAGTACAAATGTTGTCGGATTGGACTCTTTCAAGTTTCCCGTCAAGGATGTTATGTTTATAAAGTGGAAACTTTCAAACACTCAAACACTAAATGTTCCAAGAGACTGGTCAAAGTTCACTTTTAAAGCGAATTTCACATAGAAAATAATGGAAATAAAGTGAATCCAGAAAGTCTTCACAGTGCTTGATTTATCCACATTTTAATCAAGTGCTCTCCAACTTTTGTAAATTACCGGTACTTGTACTAAGTGAACCTGCAAAGTTTAATGTTGCTAATTTTTATAGCACAACTGAATATGCTTGCTTTGCACATAACACACATTCAAAATGGGAATAAAGAACTGATATAATGTAAAATTATTTAAAATCACAAATAGCCTACTTTAGCAAAAATAAAACATGGCCAGTGAAGATGTCTGCTGGCCAGAAGCTGAGCTGCACTGTTTTCTTAGGCGCATTCTTAGTTACACTTTTGTCGCTCATCAAATATGTTCTGTGTGGACCCCTAACAGTCAGCTCGTGATATCACCCAATTCCCCCTGCATTTGGCTATTCTCATTTTGATGCCAGTTGTAACAGAAAATTTGAATCTGGCCAGTGGGGTTCGAGTTAGACATCGGTGTTTTTAAAGAGTTACCCTAGGTGTGCAGTCTTGAGTTACAGTATTTTGTCTGTTATTTCCACACTGACTGGGAGAGTTTTGCAATATTTGCTCAACTTGCACTGCCATCTAACCACACACACACACACACACACACACACACACACACACACACACACAGTATCCAAGAGTAAAAGCATGTATGTGCATGTGCAGTGTGAGGAGAAGGAGGGTATTGAGCACATTACATATCCTTCCTTGATAATATGTCCCAGCTAGAAAATATTATTTTGCACAGCCCCAGGAGCAACACTGCTGCCTCTGCTGTCTCCGGGGAAAAAAGAGGCACGGTTGTTCTACCCGTGGACTGAAATGACTTACTAGTGAGCAAAAACAATGTACTAGTACATAGACCTTGAGCTCTGATTATCCTTGATGCAAAAGACCTGCGTGAATACAAAAGGCATTAAAGAAAGATGTTTGAGCATTTATTTGTCATCCTTTATAACGAGGCTACTTGTGTGTCACACGCCAACTCGTTGGGTTGAATAAGTCTTAGTGGAAAAGCACAGGGGACTAGTTTACTCGTAAGGCTTGTAAAGGAATCTATTCCTGACTGTGATTTTTTTAGCCCCTCTCTGTTAGTTGGATCTGTTCAAACACTTGAAAGAAAGAACGTAGTATGCTGTTGAAGGTATTTCCTGCTTACTGTGATTACAATCACCTTTAGTGCCCCTTGACCCCCACCACTTTTAGGAGCCCTCCAGAGGACATGTTTAACATCAAAAGAGGAACTGTTATCTCAAGTATCTGTGTTGCTTCCATCACATCAAAGCTCAGACTGAAGACAATTGCGGGTAGTGGTGGTCTGGTCTCACCTCACCACTCCCAACTTTTTCCAGCCACACCGGGTCGGATGACATGTTAATTTCTTTGTTTCCGGGATTTGCATGGAGGCGTAACTGCCCGCCTCTCATTATCATATTATCTCTATATATTCTCATGACTGTATTTTTTCTAGGCTTCATGACTAAATCTGAAACTCTCAGGAGCCCGAATTGATTCGTAAACTGCAGAAAAGAAAAATAAAACCTGCGAAGGTACTGTTCATCGTCTCCAGCCTGTATTTGGATAACCAACATCCTCATCAACGAACACGCGGAGGAAGAGAAAGGCCGACTCTACCCCAACAGGCTTAAGTGTGTATTAGTACTGTAGGCCAAAAAATTCACTTGGGTAAAAACATAACTAGCGAGATACAGTCGCTCTACTAGTGTAAAGAGTTGCCTTAGTAGTGAGGACAAAGAGCCTACTAGTAGGTGGACCCGACGCAGGATATCATCCATCCATCCATTCATCCATCAACCTCACAAGGGTCGTGGGCGTACTGGAGCCTATCCCAGACGTCTTTGGGCAGTAGGCGGGATACAGCCCTGAACTGGTTGCCAGTCAAGCGCAGGGCACACATAAACAACAACCATTCACAATCACAATCAAACCTATGGACAATATAGAGGATTCAATTCACGTCACATGCATGTTTTTGGAATATGGGAGGAAAGCGGAGTACCCGAAGAAATCACATGCGAGCAGAACATGCAACGTGCCGCCACGTTAGATATCAACCACATGGAATAAACTCAAAAGGATTTTCCATGGCAGTGTGTCATGACGCTCCTGTTATTTGGGTGTCTCCCCATAGAAACGCGCCACCCATTGATCAGAAGGGGGAACAACAGTCTGGGCTGAAAATCCTTTTTATTAAGAGAAAACGAATCAACGACGCAGAATTAACGCCTGCCCATAACTGACATAAAATGGATATATTTTCGTGTCTTAAGTCAAAAGTGAGGTTGGAGGCCAGCAGAGACGCAACGCCAGTCTAGTGGGGGTGGGTGTTGTGCAGCCCTCCACTCTCCCCTTTCCTTTCTCTTCTCTTCTTTGTCTTTTTACCATAACATTTTTACGACCACCTCACAGCATTGCTTTCCCGGCCTAGTGCAAGCAGACTGCGGTCGAGCCTGTTGTGATCATTTCACATAAAAGGGCCAACCAGTCCGGCGCGCATGCAAGCAACAGTCCACGTTGATCCAACAAAAGAAGGTGTTCCCCACACACAACACCTTAAAGTCGACAAAAAGCATCACGGTGTATCTAAAGTTGCCACGCTTACCGTTTCGTGTCCTGTTGCCTGGTTCTAGCCGAGATGGCGCGTGCATATATCTCCGACGTCAGGTCGGTTCCGTCCGGGCTCATCGGTGGTTCGCCGAGACTCGATCCAACGGATGGATCTCCCTGTCGGGCATCGGGCAGGCGATGGGTCCGATGTGCGTGCGGTCCTTTGGAGGCGGTGATGGTGGTTGTACGGGTAGGGGTGCTAGCAGTACAGAGCAGACCGCGGAGGACTCATTCATGAAGCATGCGCCTCCGCTCGCTCCCGTGCGCGCGCCCCCGCTTTGTTTTGAAGAGATGCACGCGATCACGCAACGGTACTGTTACATGCACGCGCGGCGGTTTCTATTTACGCAAGGAGGTGACATGTTGGGAAAACAGTACTGTGGTTTACCAGAGGTCCCTGAACGACACAAACACCACAGAAACAACCCAGGGGAATGCGCGCGCGCGCGCGCGCGCACACACACACACACACACACACACACACACACACACACACACACACACACACACACACACAAGTGGGGCATTTGCAATCAAGAGTATTGTTGATATCTGTCTGAGTGCGCACACACACACAATGCAATCTACAGTCGCCTGTCAATGCAAACGCATTTTGCAGTTAAGAGTCCTGTTATTTACGAGAGGTCCGTAAACAACACAAACATCCCGAAAACAAAACAGGACGGATCGGTTGCACAAACATTCAAATAAACAAACAAACACGCACGCACGCACGCACGCACGCACACACACACACACACACACACACACACACACACACAGTCACACACACACACACACACACACACACACACACACACACACACACACACACACACACACACACACACTTGGGTGCTATCTAAAATATCTCATGCAGTCAGTGCACGCGCATGTTCCAATATGTACAATAGTCAATTCCACCAACGATTTAATTGATCGTTGGTGGGATAGTCACCATGCATTTGTGACTATGTGCGCACCGCACCCATCAACGCGGCACACGTTTGCGTGTCCTGTGACATTTAATCTGCTCTTATTGGATCAGAGAGGCACACATTAACATACTTAAAGCTCAACAACAAAGCGGAGTTGTTGCTTTTAGAGCACCCAAGCAGTCTATTTCCTATTTGTATCGTTAGCCTATTCTGTTCACCAGGGACGGCTGTAGGATTTTTTTTCTTCTGGGGCTCAAGGGAGGCTTGACTGATACATTAGGGGGGCTGAGAAAATAATCTATAAATGTACTTTAGAATATCAAATGAAATGCTGGGAGAGTTCAAGGTGGGCTAGACAGATGTCTGGCGGGGCTACACTCCGTGTAACGGCATCCCTGTAGAGAGCACATGTCCGTCAGAAGATAAAGAAAGTGCAGACATCATTAAATGGTGGTAAGATAAACTAAACAACAGCTATTGAGAATTAGAGTGCACACAATTACTGCGCCATTAAAATCGATGTTAGTTTTCCGATGTATGCCCCACATCAGTCAGAACTGTATTAGACGGTTTGGAACGGATGGATTGTCATATAGGCAATACAGTATAGAGCGAAGTTTACGTTTCCAGAAGAGATGAACGCATCATATTGGTCAGTCAGAACCATATAAGGATGTAGGATGTCTCAGGTGGTGGGTATTTGGCAAATTTTGTCATACATTTTTATTTATTTATTTATTTCATTGGGACAGTGCACAACAACAACACAAGAATAAACAGTGTAAATGTGCCGGACTTAGCATAAATGCTAGTTTTCAGCCGTACTCCCAAGGCAGGTTTCTTAACATGAGCATAACATAAACAGTTTAGATCAAATAACAAAATAATGTAGCACAACACATAGCATAAAAGATGAACAGTCATGCAATCTTGGTCACTTTTCCTGCATGTCGTTGCTCTTTGAAGCAGTTATAGATGAAAGAGGAGAGAATCAAAGTGTCATTTCACCAGTGGATCAGGAATGTCATGCCTTGCACTATGTTGTCAATGTTGGGTTTTCCAATAGACTGGAACACATCACATTACCCACAAATGTACAGGGTGTCCCAAAAATCTGGACACTCGGACAAGTATACAAAGTGTATTTTTTTCAAGAAATTACATTTTCAACATTTCATTCAACTGGAATACAAACAAATAGCACATTTTCACTATTATTTCTAACATACAAATGTTGATGGGCTTTGAAAGATTAATGCTGGCGAATTCAACTGACTTTATTTCCCCTAAAGACATTTTTAAGGCTCAGTTTGTGTTCCTTCATCGTCTTCCTCGCTAGCCATATGTCGGGGCTCCATGTTTCCTTCCGTGGCTATCAAGAGGACTTGTGTACTGTATCTCTGACCGTGGATGGACTGTGGACGCGTTTCGCCTTCCTACCACTTGAGGCAGTAAAGAGTATTCAAAGTGTGTAAAGACCAAGACATGAGGCGTCGAACAAGACGGCGCGCCCATTGAAATTTCAAATGTTATTTTTTTTACCATTAGCTTCACTCGTCTAATTCTTGTGCTTTATTTTTTTTCCTCGCGTTTTAAAATGTCCAACACTTTCGAGGAGAAAATGTCGTCTCCCAAGCGTTTCGGCCAGGTATGACGGACTTGATGAAACAACTTAGAAAAGTTTTTCTTCCAAACTCCCTTCATGTATCCAAACGAGCTTGCGCACAATGGAAAGAAATGGAACAAATCGCCACTTATTTGTACTGTATCCCTCCCCCATCTCAGTGTGCATATACAGCCGAGGAGCAGCAGGCTGTGCACAATGCACTGCGACAGAAGTTGGGGCCAGAATTCATCAGCACCAGACTGGCTGGAGGAGGACAGAAGGCAAGTTTTTGAGCTGGAAAGTAACTTTATAAAGACTCTTTCATTTTATGTCTCACGATTTAAAACCTGGGTGGCTTAATATAATTTGACACACGCTTTCATCAAAATACCCCAAGGATCGAGAATTATAAGACACTTGATTGATTGATTGATTTCAACATTCCCGAGTGAACCAGGAGGTTTGATTGCATTTTCACTTATGAAGGCAGCACTTCATATACTACACTGTGAATATGACGCATGAACACACCACCAAACACAAAAACTTCCCACTCCTGCCACATCTACGGCTTCACCTACCATGTGCCACTTAGCTGACACGATTCACTAATGGTTGTCAATGTATCTAGCAAAACTCGGTGCAGCTCTACTTACCTTTTACACGATCAGGTTCCACACCTCTCTGCCTAGACTGAAAATTAATGGCACTTGTACAAAGTTATCACTGGCTTATCTGAGTTTAACTGAGTGCCCATAGAGATTCTATTGCATTTCCACATGTTGAGGCATCATTTAAATACCAAACCGCCAAATTTCCTTTTTGCAATGGATGTAACTGTGTGGTTCATGGCATCCTCAAACATGAATATCCTCTGACACTCAGATGTTGGTGGCTTTACTGAAATAGAGTATCGAGGGCAGGCAGACAGATTATTATTCATCCCATGAGGGAAATTTCAATTGTCACACGAACAGTATTCATACATATCAACTGAATTTGGTGGATGGGCAGGCACTGCAGAGACTCATTTGCTTATGCACGCGCTATTAAAAGTATATTTTTCCATAATCTGTCCCATTTAAGCAACCTGCAATCAATGCACAGAGTGCCCAATAAACCATTTCACCATTTCATTGTTGCAGGTGTGCTACATCGAGGGTCACCGTGTGATCAGCCTGGCCAATGAGATGTTTGGATATAATGGGTGGTCTCACTCCATCTCTCAGCAGAATGTTGGTACTGTATGCCTCGGTCTCTGCCAGTCTTGTCTGTTGCCATAGTAATGTGTCACCATGACAACCAGCACCACTGTGGTCTGTACGTGGACCAACACAGCTCCATGTTTGTCTTTGTAGACTTTGTCGACCTGGTTAACGGGAGGTTTTACGTCGGTGTCAGCGCGTTCGTCAAAGTGCAGCTGAAGGTGGGGAATAAGTTGCAAATGGCCATATTAGCAATCACTCCCTCTTCACTAAGTGGTGGCTTATACAGAGAGTTTGCCATTTTGTTTTGCTCTTTGAATGTGTAGTGCATATGAGGTTATCCCTTGGCCTACATAGTGTCCTGAATGTATCCCGCAATGCCTCTTGAAAAGTAGTGAATACCTGATGTGCCCTGGAAAAGCGGTATATCCCATGATGCATTGCGTGTCGCAAAATATTTTTGATGTAACTAGAGCAACCTGTCAACAGGGATTCACATAAAACACCTCTCTGTGCTGCAGTGGTACGTTCATATAGAAGTTTAAGTCATTCTATGATCATGCTAATCACTCAAAATACTTGTGCCTCAAATCAACTTTCCTAACCGAAATGAGTGAAAATGCCATTAATCCGTTCCAGCCCCTCAAAAAACAATTTTTTTTTTGTAACATCCATGTTTAAACAAGAAAAATTGCACTGCACGGTGTGGTCCAGAATAAAGACATACTGTGATAACCAAATAAAATTGATAAAAAAATTTTCACTTCAGTTTGGCTCCCATGGCTGGCATTATATTCTTTATATACTCCTGCTTCAGTATACGAAAACTATTTACATTTAACTTAAAAAAATAAGTTCTGTTTTGTTTTTTTTGTTTTTTTGCTTTAAGACCAACCAGTATCTATAGCTCAGAGTTGGAAAGTGGGGTGAGACCATTGAAAGAAAAAAAAATGCTGCCTATTGAAATGACCATGAAAATGCACAGTGAGCCAATGGAGAGAGGCCAGAATGGGAGTCTTGTGCTCCGTCTTACATGTTCCAATTCAAAAGCGACCAGCAGCATTTTTGGAGCCATTTGAGGGAGGGCTGGCTGACTCCAAAATAACATGAATTAGAAATCTGGCTGAGATGTGATTGAAGGCATCGATTACCGTTTCAAAGTGCTGTTTTTTTCCCCCAACTCCTGTTAGTCCACTAGCTTCCGTTGATCTAGTTTATTATATTGTAGTTATACGACTGCAGTGCTGTAATCAACACCATTCCCAAACTATTTTTCATTTGACTATAAAGTCCACTATTTAAAAAATCCTATATCGTGATTAGGAAGACAACAAAATGTAATTTATCCTGCGATGATCATCATAAATGAATAGCTCTACATGTTTTCTGGCAGGACGGCGCGTTCCACGAGGATGTGGGCTACGGAGTGAGCGAGGGGCTGAAGTCTAAAGCTTTGTCCCTGGAGAAGGCAAGAAAGGAGGCTGTCACCGATGGCATGAAGAGAGCACTCAAGTACTGGAAGATTACAATCCCATTTCATAGTTGTTGTTATAGTTTTTATCCGTTGTGTTTTATTTAGGTGTTTCGGGAATGTGCTTGGTAACTGCATCCTCGACAAAGCGTACCTTCAAGCAATTAACAAGATCCCCAAGCAGGTAAAAAGACATTGGGAATAATTCACTTATTCCCCAATCGCTTATATGGGGATTTTTGTGTATGGTGGTGAACTACAGTATATACGGTACAGGTAGTTCCTTATAATCCCTGCCTAATGATTACTTTGATTACGGATTAGGAAATGATTCCGAATGCAGTTTTTTGAATTTGGTCCTGTGACGTTCGCAAAGCTGAGCCGTGAGCAATTGTGATGTCATTTTTAATAGACAGCAAGTGGCAAAATAGCCACCCGCTGAGATGGATGACAACGGGTGGATTTTGCTGCTTAGTTTGTATTTCACAAACACAATAGTTACCAGCATGCGCTAGTGGGGGGCACATAGAACATATTGGAAAGAAATATTTTTGACATCCGCTTGAAAACTCTACAATCTCTTAGGCTGTCTCCCTTGTCACCCACCAGGACAGGCCCTTGGATTGTTGAAACTGCAAGCACTCTAGGTCACAAATGTTACTGTAGAACATTTGTATGGCAACTGCAATTGGACAGCAACAACATTTTGTTCAGTAATGTGAAATCAAAATTTTCGCCGATGGGACGAGCCGTAAAATAATCCATTCTCAACATATCTGATAGTTGCAACCCCAGTGAGCTGGTGGACCTTCCGTAAAAGATATTGAAACAATAGCTTATTACACACCTGTCCTCATTTAAATTGCCTCTAATTCGCCCCAACTAAAGTTCAGCTGCTTTAGTAAGCTTTTCCTGACTATCCGTATTACATCACATGCTTTCATAATCACAGTTTGAGGCAAACCTCGAGTACGATTTAGGCCACAATCACAATGAGTTTGACATCATGTATCCTTTAAAGAAGCTTTTTCCCGACACGTAGCCGCTGCCCGCTCTGGACCCTGCCCAGACCAAACGGTCGGAAAGTGAGCCCACAGTGGAGAAGGCTCGTTTCTGTAGCCTGGTACGAGAGGCTAAACTGGGGTCTGCCATCACACCGTTGGAGCGGCGAGACGGCAACCTGAGAGAGAGCTACTACGAGACTCACACCCCTGACGCTCAAGACGTTCAAAGCGAGGGAGAAGGCGCAAGGTAAAGACCCTCCCGACCCCGCAGGTTGTCCTCTGCGTCATTCTCCCATGGCCGTCCGTGAATTTGGTACCTGAGCTTTGAGTGGGGAATTATCTGACTATTATGTCACATTAGTACAAACTATCAAAACTATTCAAGAAGGCAATATAGAAACACACAACTGTGCCGCCTCCATGATTTGAAGCAGATCACCCAAAAATGTATCATTCACCAAAGATTCAATGTATTATGTTGTGGAGGATGCAACAGACATGCTTTGCTCTGAGCAACCAATCAGAGGACGGACGAACGCTAACACCATCAAGGGCGAGCTCACTGGCTCTCGGAGGAAATCTGATTGGTTAAAGTAACGATTCTTAAACTTTTTATGGAAAGTAGAGCCTCCTCATGACCATCACCATCATGACCAACTTTCAAATAGAATGGAGTAGTAAGCCTCAAATTTCATTAAAAAAAAAAAGGTGGATGCGTTATTCCTAAAAATTGTATTTAGTGTTGTTTTTGTTAGATATTTATTATGTGCAGCAGGTTATTACAACTGCAGTTAGTTTTTAGTGCTTGCTTTTTGATCTCTATGAATAAATTTGAGTGTGATTATTATAAAATAAACCGCAGTAACGTGATGCATCGTTTGAACATTAACTGCGCTTAAATATAGGAATTAAAAATAAGATAAATGTTTATTTATATGTAGCTTTGACAACAGCTGTTAGCTGTTAACAAAACACTTTACGGAACATTTACCATAAAATAAGACAACAGAACACACATGCGCATACATGGACTGGAAGCAATGCAGCGAGGGGAAAAGTTTCGAATTGAAGTCAAGTGACTATCGGGAACAAATGAATACATTTTCATGGAGCAAATATTAGTCTTGAGGTTGGTCATGGAGATCAGTGCTTCTGATGGCCCACCATTGCTTCTCTCAGGCAGGCCTTGGTGGACACGGCGTCATCGTCAGACCCCAAGGAGGTGCGGAAGCAGCGGCAGCAGCAGCTGCAGCTGAAGTTTCGCAAGGAGATGGAGGCCAAGAGGCTGGAGCAGAAGGAGGCGGTGGACACGAAGGCCGAGGACGTGGAGCTCCTCTTTGGAGAAGGAGGTGATGGACTGAGCGATCGTACCTCGGTTGCCCCATTGGCTTTTTCACTTCGATCCAGCCGTGGCATATCTGAAAGTTTGTCTGAAACGCAAAATTTGTTGCCTGCAACAAAAACATTTTAAACTAAAACCTGAAATGCTCAAAGATGCGCCAAGATGATGCCAAAGCCCTGCCAAGGAGGAGGGAGGAGCTAAATTTAACCTGGTTCATGAGTGGAATTTATGGAGAGTCTTTGTTGTATGTGCATGTCTACATGCAATTGCGGTTGATTTTGTTTTTTTTAATCAAATAATTTATTTTAAGTGTGATGTAAGATGAGTTTAAAATTACATCACAGGGTTTAGGCAACTTGTGATTGGTACATTTTGCAATTTTAAACCATGTATTTTTGGGGGGGGTCGGTCACTGGCAGTTTAACGCAGCAGAGCCCTGGGTCCCTGTTTAGTGTAATCCAATATCACCTCAGCTCCTTTTTCAACCGCAGGGGGCAGTGTTGTGCATTGAGGAGCAGTTGGAGGCCTTGTGCTGTGGTGCATGTACAGTACAACTCCATTTCAAGAGTTACCATCTGGTGGTTGTTCAAGGCAAAAAGTGAAAGTCATGTAATCGACATGACTTTCACTTTCACACAAAGGGAACTATTTCATGGCTTTATTTATTATAATTTGATGATGACTTTAGTTTATAGTTGACGAAAAACTCCCAACTCACCATATGGAGAAATTAGACTATTACATTGCGGACATGAGAAACATTCAAAGTGATTTTTAATTTGGAAATTTGGTCGAACTTTTCAATACGGTAAAGTCACCTTGTAGCACAAAGCATATTGTTTCCACCTCAATATTTAAATTTGGGGATGCTGTTCTTCAGATTATAATCTGTTTTTTAAATCCTTCACACGCACCAGGTGGACTGGAAGTCCCCATATAGCTCCACTTCAGAATCAGATATGCTGTAGATCAACATCGGCAAAGCAGTAGCATAACGGTAGCAATCGCAGCATCGTGTCATCAGTGAAAAGACTAAAGACAAAAAATGTCATGTTGACCCCGCAGATGATCCCGAACTCTGGAATTTCACCCTGAATGGAACGGAGGAGTCAGACGGGCCCTGCGGGGCTTTCGGCCCGAGCACGCCCAACAGTCACAAGATGCAGACACGCAGCAAGACCCCACAAAGGACCACCGTGAAAGAACACGAGCAGCGGCAGGAGCAGCAGCAGCACTCGCACAGTACAGGACACTTGGGGATTAATCAGGACGGACGTCCGCATCAAGCCAGAGCAGGTTAGACAAGGGTGGGAAAAATTTGGCACGGGGGTCCTCTTACAAACCGGTTCGTTCTTTAATCCGGCCCACTGAGTATACATTATCAAGAGTCCTGTAATTGTAATGGTGAATCTCAAACGTTCGCCCCTGAGAAACAAGTTTGCCCACCACTGATCTATTTTAAGCACTTTCTTTTTACTTCACTCGAGTACGCCTTCATCGTTTTGTTTTGTCCTTCTACCCGCAGAAACCTCCAGTCCATACCGGGCAGGGCAGTTCATGAAGAAACGTCGACTGGATACATGACATTGACCTCCTTTCGTATCAATTAGTTTTAGCAGTTTATATTTGAATTGATGAAGCCGTTTCAACACATCGATGCTGCATGTTAAAAGGTTGCAAGTTTTTGATTAATAAAATAACCCTCATACTGTTGTCTCCGAATTTATTGATGAGCAGTGTTAGGTTTCCGCCAAGCACACAGCACAATTTTCCAAAAGTTTGAGAGAAGAAATCTTGGGAGGTTTGTTTTTCTTGGTAAGAGAAGGCTTCCGTCATGACTTGACTTGCAATTAAGTCTGGACTAAATCTTGTTGTAATATATAAAATACCAAAAGACCAATTCAAGAAGCTGGGCAATGTAATTCATATTTTTTTTAATTTGTTTTTACATTTTGTACAATGTGGAAAAACATACACAAAAACCAGACACCAAATCACAGGAAATCAATACGGAAAGAAGAGTCGAGCAGAAATGTGTCAGTAGCCTCACGTCGTATGTCGAGGTCTTTCAAGGATCTTTTTAAATTTGTGCTGTACAGTGGCTGTCAGATTGAACACCGGTGAAGCTGGCATGCAGAGAACACAATGAGTTATATACGCCGCTATTCAACTTGTGCGTGTGACATTGGTGGATGTGAATGGCGGGGGCATGGTGATGACCCGAAAAGGCAAACAAACCGAATAGTATTCCCATATCAAAAAACAGTGAAGTCAGTAACTCTCGTCGGCATGCAAATGACTCCATGAACCCTCCATCCCTATAAAACTTTGCATATTCTGCATTGCAGGAACTTACTTTTTTCTCTAGAGAAGTTTTAACTAGTTGTCCAAACTATGAGCAGGCCGCTGGAGCGCATCTGTGAAATGGTTTAATGAGAAATCCACAAAAATCGGGGAGAAAAAAAAAAAAAAAGCTAGCCAAAAGCACAAGAATGAGCAGAGTAGAAGCAATGAATAACCAGGAGAACATTTCCAACCTCTACATTGCAGTGCGTTCACATTGCGTACAGGGGCCTCGATAGTACATGTGGGGAAAGCAGTTTGACATATATTCCATATCCTTGACATCTAACTTAAGATCCATGCACTAGTACGCTAAACAATAGTAAGTCAATTCGGAACAATGGAAGGGCTAGTCTTAATAACATTTGCCTTTCACCACTGTATGGCATTTCTGCATTGCTTAATAGGAAAACTTTGGCATACTAGTAAGTTGATGAGACGCTACTAGTGAAGCAAACCTAATAATGACTATTTTGGTGCACAGATGGCTACTAGTGTGTGATGCATGCCTACTACTTGAGCCAATAAGCATGACTAATGCAGCACAGTAGATTACAAGTTAGGTTTAATTGTGTATTAGGATACAAAGTGGGACGAGTATTTGAAATAACATGACTCATAAGCAAGAGTCCTTCTGTTGGTCTACTAGTTGGCCGAATTGTCCCAAAGGTGAGGATGAAGACGATACCAGTATACGATATATCAAATAAAATGTTCATGCACAAATACATTTTTTTGGCTTGAGTAGGACAACTATGTTACTAGAGGAGAAAAAATTGTGCGCTCGTTGACAACTGTGCTAATGGTACTAGTTGTGTCAAAATTTAACTAGTTGACATGGAGTGTCACTAGTAGAATGCAGATAAACTAATGTCCCCCCCCCCAAGTAACATGTACTTGAACTCCTCGAGGTTTTCCTCCTAGTGTGCAGAAAGTAGTGGAAAAAAGTTACTAGTAAGACACTGTAATCCTACGAGTGCACTAAATTGTCTAAATAGTGAAGACAGAGAATGTACTAGTACACGGACCTTGAGAAGGGTATCAAATCAATGTTCAGATGGCTTTTCACAAAGCAGTTTAAGTGTTCATTTGACCTCCAGTAGTACTGGTGGCACACAGATGTCAACTAGTAGACAGTTGTACTCCATTAGAAACACCTAGTTGCTCCACTACAAATGAGGACTGAGTCGAATGGGAAATGGACCTTCAGTTTGAGAACAAAGATATGGAATACATGTTCCAACCGCTTGTCATAGAACTTGTTAATAGTGAGGGTGCAAGGCACTAAAAGTGTTCCTCACATTTCCCGAGGTTAGAGTGTGAGTGCGTTCTCTGGTCTCGGTACATTGTGTGTATTTATATTAATAAAAAAAAATAAAATAAAATAGCCGCACATTAAACTAGAGTATGTACAATTAATAGGAAAAGCAAGAAAGTAAGAAGGAGGTGGTTGGTTGGGCAGCGAAGTCCTACCGGGAGATAGAATAGCTTAATATACAGCAGGATGAAAGAGTACATTGAGATAATAACAAACCCTGCAATTGCACTTTAATATTCCTTTAACTACATGTTGTTTAACAACCTTTAATAGTAATTACAGTGAGACAACATCAAAATCTGATGGCTGAATACAGGTCCATAAAGAACATTTCTGTTTATTAAATAGATGAGTACAAAAAAAAGACCACAGAAAAGGCGGGAACCCCACTAATGAAGCGGCTAATTATTTTGTAGGCTGTCTGAAAACAAACAAAATGCTAAATTATTTGACTTGAGTGAGAGTTTTGTGGCTTTGTGTGTCACCAACGTGGGATTCGTTCAATTCAAGTGTAAACCAACAAATACAAAAACAACAAAAAAAAGAAAACAACACTCCCGAGCCATATTGTGATTTACAGCAGCATCGCCTCCACTTTGCGGCGCTCAACACCAGGATGCCTTTTTATGTTTGTTTTAAATTCCAAGTCATATAATCAATGTTTTAAAAAAAAAAAAAAACACGCAAAATCACAAATGACACCAGACATAAATATGTTGAATATCTATGTACAAAAATGTCTTCGGGGAATAAGGCCACAGTTACAAAAGGGGGCAGTTGTTTCTCTCCTTAATTATTGCATTGACTTCACCTTGTACATATCGCAAACCATCGTTACACTCCTGCTCAACTTACAGACTCTTTCGACTTGCTCTCGCACACTCCCTCTCTCTGACACAACTTAACCTCCCTTCCCACAAGCAGGTCAATATTTACTCCGTGTTCACCATCCCACTTTTGGCTTGGAATGACAACAACATACAGTACACTAATGACAAAAAGTGAGGCATGTTGGGCCTGCGGGTGTAATTTCGGGGGTGAACCTAAAATGCACTAGAACCAACTTTGTCTAAAGTTCTGAACGCTTTCGTAATTTTTGTACGACTTGCTGGTCTCCCTTCAATGTCTTTCTGTGACTCCTCAGACAGAGACCGGAAGCAACACAGAAAGGCATATAGAGACACCTTTGTAAGCCTTTCCTTCAGTCTCCGTTTCAACGTGCTAATGACACTCTTAATCTTTGATTCATTAATTGACCAAGACATTTCAGCTTGTATGCCTTTGTGTATCTCTTCCAATGTTTTGGACTATGTGAAGCCTTGCAATGGCGAGGGAAGGGGCCAGCGAACATAAAGCATCATCAGCACAATGCAGCAGAGACTGGAGGAGTCAAAGAAACGCATAGAAAGTAAAGTCAAGAGTGGCATCAGAAGGTTACATCTAAGATATGAGACTGGAACAACCACAGAAAGCTAAGAAACGGTCAAATTAAGATTAGCTGTAAAGGTCCGAGTGGATTGTAAATTCATCCTGAAATTTCCCCAAAAGGTCAACTATCCTGAATTTTTGTGCACGGTGCACATCCGCCCTCGACAACAAGAAAATAAAGACATCTTTGGCTGACCAATCAGCTCATCACAGCTCAATTTCACAGCAAACAGGCGGGCCGAGTGTATGCTGTGTGGATGTGTGTGTATTGCACGCTCCCTCTGACGGGGTCCGGCAGACTTCAATCTGCCCGAGAGGACGCCATGTAATCATTGTTTAAAAAAACAAAAACAAAACAAAGTAAAGCACAGAGAGCTCGTGAGCGTGTGCTTCAAACTGGACTGGGCTACGTAGGCCTTAAATTGGATCCTCCCTGGCTGACTGATTTCTGGGTGGCAGGCGTGGTGGTCCCCATGTGGTAGCCTTGGTGCATGGACACCGGAGCGGTCATGGGCGGCTGGTACTGGGCGGGAGTGAGCATGCCGACCTGGCAGTTGCCCGTGGGTCCTGCCCACTGAGAAGCGCTGTATGAGGCCGAAGCGTACCCGAAACCCGGGCCGACCGGGCCCAGGGAGCCTTTCCGGGCGCCCAGGGGGACGGCGGGATTGGCGGGGTTGGGGTGGTGGGTCGTGGTGGGGGTACCGGTGGTGGTGCTGGCAGGCGTGGGGAGGGTTGGGCAGAGGTAGCCGGGAGCAGAGAACTTGCGACCCATGTTGGCAGGAGGGATTCCCTGGAATTGAAAACCAGGAAAAGATCATTACATAGAATCGCTGCATATATTCAGTTTTTTGTTTTGTTTTGGAGGAACCTATCCTCTATTATACCTGACATTCTCTGTTTTTGTGTACAGGCCAGAACAAATGTATTCCTTTGGTGTTAACTGGTGGAATTTTGGGGTCGTTGTAAGGTTTAAGTCATTGTGTGTGATGTCATGTCAGTTTGTGCTAACGTGTTATTTAGGCTAGTATGCTAGCTAATGATATAGATGAGCCTCACACGGTTACTCAATGCAGTTTATGGCTCATGATTGTGTACACTCCAGACGCATGGTGTCGGCGCTTTATGGTCCGCTCAGGTTTAGTATTTGTTGCTATACTGCAGCAGATTGACAAGGTCTTGTTTCATAACTTTTTGGCATTGTCTTAAACAAAATTGTATATATTAAAACTACGAGAGGTACCTGGACTCAGTATTGATGAGTATTCAAAGAGGGAATACTCGCACTGGTATTGATCTGGGAAAAAAAAGTGTTCTCTAAAATGTCGAAAAAATAATTTTGTGATTATTTTGGTGGTGTGCTGTGAGACCTTTGTAATGTAAAATATGTGCCTTGGCTCAATATAGGTTGGCAAAACCTGCTCCAAAAACATGAAGTTGCATTGCATCACATACGTCATGTCCCTGAGCTGCCTGTGTTCCGGTTTTAGGACCCCTCTTGCCCTGCGAGAGACTAATGTCTTTGGCCCAGTTATCCACCAGCTGGTGCAGGTCATCCGTGAAGGTCCCTTTGCACTTCTGCGTGTGAGCGGCAGTGGCAAGGGAAGCCGGCCCGCTCGCGTGGGTC